CCACTTATTTAGGTCTTTAATTTTTCTCAGCAATATTTAGTGGTTTTCAGTACAGAATGTATATGCATTTTGTCATATTCACATATACATATTTCATATTTTTGATATTGTCAATGGTATCTTTCTTCACTTTAATTTCCAATTATTACTTCCTAGCTAATTCGTAATTGCTGATGTGAAATTACATCATTCCAAATTCTGTTCCTCGTTGCCACTGGTGTGAATTTACATCTTTGCAAATTCTGTTTCTGAATGATATATATTCTATTTATAATCCAAATATAAATACTAAGTACAGATAGTCAGAGTGGCGTCTGAGGCAAATACTGGATTTGTCTGCAACTTTTAGCTATATTGTGAAAAAGGTGACAGTTTAGAAAAGACCATTTCACTTGTACTTGACAGAAGTTTGCAGCAACCAGCTTCAGATTTTTTTTATTTTCACCTGCAATCAGTATTAGGAAAATAAAAAATTTGCTGATCGTGAATGTGCTGGTACAGAGAAATGCAATGAATTTTTTTTCTTTTCGAGTCGGAGTCTCACTCTGTCGCCCAGATTGGAGTGCAGTGGCCGCTCCCGGCCACCGCAGCCTCGACCTGCTGGGCTCCGGCAATCCTTCCACCTCAACCTTCTGAGTAGCTGGAATTACAGGCACGCGCTACCACGCCCGGCTAATTTTTTATTTATTGTAGAGATGAGGTCTCGCCAAGTTGCCCAGGCAGGTCTCGAACCCGCAGGCTCAGGCAATCCACGCACCTCAGCCTCCCAAGGCGCAGGATTACAGGCTGAGCCACAGAGCCCAGCTGCAATGAATTTTTTTTGCCTGTTGACTTGCCATCTTGGGACCTTGCTAACCTTACCTATGACTTTAACATCTTTTTTAATATATATCTTAGGATTTTCTGCATATGTGATCATGTTGCCTGAGAATTTTTACACTTTGTTTCCTATTTGTATGACTCTTTTTTTCTTGAAAAAGCATTTTCTTTCGCCATTAAGTATCAAGGAAGTATTCTGAGTAAACTTGGACAAGAATGATTAACAGCTGAGCACTAGCAGACTTGACCTTGAGAGAGAGAAGACAATTCAAGTCCTGGGCTTAGTAATTTCCAAGTTCATGATGCTGACTTTATTTTTACATAATTGAGCATTATAACCAAAACAGTAGTAATGTCTAACTGTATGTTATTCAAGTACTTATTCGTGTGTTAAAGATATAAGAAAATTAGCTGGGCTCGGTGGCTCAGCCTGTAATCCCACACCTTTGGGAGGCCGAGGTGAGTGGATTGCCTGAGCCCGCGGGTTCGAGACCTGCCTGGGCAGCAAGACCTCATCTCTACAATAAAAAATAAAAAAAAAAAAATCAGCTGGGCGTGGTAGCACATGCCTGTAATTTCGGCTACTTGAAAGACTGAGGCAGAAGGATCACCAGAGTCCAGCAGGTTGAGGCTGCAGTGGCCGGGAGCGGCCACTGCCCTCCAGTCTGGGCGACGGAGTGAGACTCCAACTCAAAACAAAAACCCAAAACAACAACAATATACAAATACAGGAAATTGTATTCTTTACCGAGACTCTGTACTGCATGCAAGGCTCCAGAACTCACTGCCACATAGGAGTGGGATTATCATTTTTATTTAGGAGAGTTTTGGCTGTTTTTTTTTTTTTTTTAGAGTCGGAATCTCACTCTGTTGCCCAGGCTGGCGTGCAGTGGACTGATGGCCACCACAGCCTTGACCTGCTAGGCTCAGGTGACCCTTCTGCTTCAGCCTTCCAAGTAGCTGAACTACAGGCACGTGCCACCATGCCCAGTTAATTTTTTTGATTTATTGTAGAGACAAGGTCTCACCTTGTTGCCCAGGCTGGTCTCGAACCCCTGGGCTCAGACAATCCTCTTACCTCTACCCCCCAAAGTGCTGGGATTACAAGGCTTGAGTCACTGTGCCAGGAGGGTTTTTAATTCTGGGGTTTACACACTTAACAGCTCAGACTCACTAGTATATTATTTGAGATTCCAAAGTATTATTAGAGTGTCTAAATTAGTGGAAAATCATCTAGAAAAGTATTGTTCACCTTTGAGTTCATATGAAAGCTGTCGTCTTTCCAAACACATTGCCTCCCAAACATTGCCATTGCTGGAGAAAGCTTTTTTTTTTAATTTTTAAGAAAGCTTTATGAAAATTACTAAACTATAAATTAACTATACAGGTTTTGTTTGTTTCTTTGTTTGTTTTGAGTCGAAGTCTCACTCTGTCTGGGCTGGAGCCCAGTGGTACGCTCATGGCCACCCCAGTGTCGACCTGCTGGACTCGGGTGATCCTTCCGCCTCAGCCTTCCAAGTGGCCAGAACTGCAGACACGCTCTACCACGCCCGGCTAAAAATTAACTATACAGGTGTTTTTAAATAGTGGAAAATTTGGTATGATAGATAAAGTAGGCATTGCTGGTTAAAAATGAATCTTAAAGTTTAAAAAGTAAAAATGGATCAAAAGTTTATATAGATACTCAGATGTGCAGAGATCACGTGAAAGACACTTGAGACACTGGGAAAAGTGGTTTTTTTGGAAGACAGGAGAGGAACTCTCTACTACATTCCTTTCTGTCCCTTTTAAATTTTAAATCGTGTATCATAACCTAATCAAACTATTTTTAATTTTTAAAAATCAAGAGAATGTGGAAAGCGGGCAAAACTTTTTTTTTCTTTTTAAAGAGACAAGGTCTCACCAAGTTGCCCAGACTGATCTTGAAGCCCTGGGCTCAGGCAATCCTCTCACCTCTGCCTCCCTAAGTGCTGGGATTATAGGCGTGAGCCACTGCACCCAGCCAAAACTTATTTTTTAAGAGTGTCAGCACATATAAGATTACAGAGTATACCAATGATATTTGACCAATTTGCTTTTGGACAAATCATAGAACCTTTGAATTATGAAAAACTTGCCAAAAAATTAGAACATCACTGGTTGACAATGAATTCGAAATGAAATAACCCAACCCACTGAAACGGATAAAAGCTCCAAAGAAGCTTAGAACAATTTTTAAAAAATCATTCTGTGGCTCACAAACATTACCACCTTCTAAAAAAAAGTCTAAATAAACAAAGGCACATGATAGTACATTGCAAAATCTCCTCTGGGGCACACACACACACACAAATAATAAAATGAAATAAAATGTCTTGTACCTTTAACCTGCACCAGGAAAATAAAACACCAAAGTCTGCAAACTTGTTGACTAAAAGTTCATGACAGACTAATACTTTGACAAATTTGTTTTCCACCACTTACCCGGAACCCTTTAGGAGCTTAGGGGCTCATAGTACAAGAACAGAGAAGCATAAAGTAGGAAAAGTCAAAGAAACCCCAAAGGCAGCGACACTTTGGACCAGGTCCATCTCCAGAGTTACAAACCGCTCTGTTCCCGACTTCCTGTGAAGCGTGGCTGCTCGGATTCCTGGTCCTGTTACCTCTGGCAGGCCTCTCTGCCTGCCAAGGAAGTGAATGCGACTGGCTTTTAGTGAAGGACTTCTGGACCGAATTTGAAAACCCCAAAGTACAATGGAACCCTTGTTAAGGATGGGGCAGAGCGAGGTAACACAATTCTTATTCAGCCCTTTTCCGCCAGATTCTGGCACCACCATGCTAAGCGACATGGAAGAGGCAAGGACAGGATGTTTTGTTTTTCATTTTTCTATTTTCTTTTTTTTTAGTTCAGGTCTCACTATGTTGCCCAGGCTGGGAGTGCTTTGGCATGGCTATGGCTCACCACATCCTCGACCTCCTGGGTTCAGGTGATCTATCTCCCTCAGCCTCCCAGAGTAGCTGGGACTACAGGTGCACACCACCACACCTGGCTAATTTTTTTTAATTTTTATTTTTGTAGAGATGAGGTCTCACGCTATTGCCCAGGCTGGTCTTGAGCTCGTGCGCTCAAGCGATCCTCCCACCTCAGTCTCCCAAAGTGCTGGGATTACAGGTTCGTGAGCCACTGCGCCCAGCTAATTTTCTTTTTTTTATTATTATTTTTTGAGTCAGAGTCTCACTCTGCTGCCCAGGCTGGAGTGGAGTGGAATGCTCACGGCCACCGCAGCCTCGGCTTCCTGGGCTCAGGTGATCCTTCTACCTCAGCCTTCCAAATAACTGGAAGCACAGGTGCACACCACCACACCCAGCTAATTTTTTTTTTTTTTATTTGGTGTAGAGACTAGGTCTTGCCAAATTGCCCAGGCTGGTCTCGAATCCCTGGGTTCAGGTAATCGTTTCACCTCCACCTCCCAAAATGCTGGCATGAGCCACCACGCCCAGCATGATTTTTTTTCTTTTCTTTCTTTTTTTTTTTTTTTGAGTTCAGGTCTCACTCTGATGCCCAGGCTGGAGTGCAGTGGCACATTCATCGCCACCCCTTTGTCAACCTGCTGGGCTCTGGCAATCCTTCTGCCTCGGTCTTCCAAGTAGCCAGAACTACAGGTGCGTGCTACCAGTTTTTTTATTTTTATTGTAGAGATGAGGTTGCCAAGTTGCCCAGGCTGGTCTCAAACCCATGGACTCAGGCATTCCTTTCACCTCAGCCTCCCGAACTGCTGGGATGACAGGCTGAGCCACCCAGCCCGGCCTTGTGTGAGATTTGAGAAGACAATACAATGGTTGATTCAGCATTTTTATTGGTAAGCTATAAGCAAACATGGACTCTTCTCTTTACTGTGATTTTTTAATTGTTCTTTGAGGCTGGAACCCTACTCTGGGGACTGAGCCGGGGGACACCACTGTCGGTTTGTGTTGGGAGGCCCTGCAGGCCTTGGAACCTCAGAACACCATGTGCAAAGAGGCAGAAACCAGGGCACTGTCACGCCCTGGAAGGGAAGGCATGCGTCTTCACCAGGGCCACTGGGCACGGCAGACCCTAAGCTGAGCCCCCCGGAAGGGCCTATCTGCGAGGGAGAGATTGCTGCGACTCCGGACAGGGAGAGGGCTTCACCCTCCGTCTTCCCTGCTGGCTTCAGGATGGGTCAGATGTGATGGCGGTTGTAGAGATAGGATGGGTACAGGCCGTCGTAATGCCACTGGCGCCACTGCTCCACAGCCTCCCTGATCCTCTCTTCCTGCTCTGTGGAGGAAAGGCGAAGGCACCTGTTAGCCCCAGGGGGACTTTGGCCCCAGGGGAGCTGCCCAGCCAGGCAGCCGTCAGTCAGGCCCCCCCCCCCACCCCCCCGTCCTGGGGGCGCATGCGCCCTGGGGACAGAGAGAATGCCAGAGCTGGAAAGGGTCCAGAGCTCTTGAGTCCACAGGCCTCGTTTGCAGGTCAGGCCCCGGAGGGCCATGGCCGCAGACAGATGTGGACGACCAAGGCCTGGTGTGCCACACTTTTCTGTCTGCACAACTAGCCCTGGGGAGGGGAGGGGATGGGGATGGGGGGGAAAACCTTATGCAGACACTGGCTCAAAGATGTAACTGCTAAGCCCGGCTCAGCCTGTCATCCCGCGCCTTTGGGAGGCTGAGGTGAGTGGATTTCCCGAGCCCGCGGGTTCGAGACCCGCCTGGGCAACTTGGCGAGACCTCATGTCTACAATAAATCAAAAATTAGC